GGGATGAAAAGACTAAGTATTAGCATTAATATATATATATATATATATATATATATATATATATATATATATATATATATATATAAAAGATTTCCCTTCCATATACAGTTACACACTCTACTATCTAAACTAATTCTTACAAAAACGACACAAGTATTTAACGAATCGGATACGGATAAAAATATCATGTATGAACTCACAAAAAGTATTGAAGAAAGTCAACACAAATGGTTGACCATGAAGGCCGAAGAGAAAAGAACAACACTCCCACATACTGATCTTGTCGGCCTAGGGCCATCGCCCATGGTAGGCCTAGGCCAACCAAAATAAACTATATTATTAACCCTAAGTTTTCTATTGCATAAATAAAGTGTAAAGACTCATAGTCAATGTAGACTACCAAATTCTATTTAAATCTACTTTTCACATAAATCGTGTCTGATTTATGTATGAGAGTGTATGTGGTTAACACTAGACTAATGTGTAATTCTACCTTATTTTGCAGGTCATCTCTTTTCTCAATTGGTGTGAGATTGACAATTTAAATAATCCCAAATTTACGCATCAACATAAGTCATTAAACTTATGTTATTGCGTCTAATAGAAACAAAACTGTTTAATGAGTCTCGAACTTTCAATTTTTGTATTTACTATGTCATTGAACTTTAAAAGTGTGTGATAGAACCATAAATTTTTAATTATATATCTAATAGGTCATTGATCTATTCAACATTTTATTGTTTCGATTCATGCACGTATGAGACCATAACCTTAAATAATAAATCTATAAAATTATATTAAAAAATACTTGACTTGTTGGATAGAAAATTAAAAGCTAAAAAACCTCTTAATGTTTTGAAAGTTAAAAAACTTATACACTGTTAAGACCTATTGGACAGAAACCTAAAAATTTTAGTACCAAATTTATAATTAACCTTAATTTACTCATCTCGGCCATCTTTATCTAAAAGAAGTTATAATCACCCTTTAAAACCATATTCAAATATTCTAAAGTTATATTATTAAAAAAAATCAAATATTATTTTGATCCGTATAGTTTTTACTTTAGTTCATTTTCGTCTCCCTCTACCTTAAAAAAGTAACAAATCTAATTCTTAGGTACAAAGTTGATATACAATAAAAACTCTTAATACAAATGTATGACTATATTTCACTCAATTTAGTAAATTAATATCACATTAACATTATCATAAAAAGAAATAAGATAAAAATAACAATGAATTAATAAAACGGTCATTTAAATGGATTTTTTAGTACTAAACTAAATAAAAATTGAAATGATAGAGATTAAAAAATAAAAAAAGAAAAAAGCATGGACGGATCTTAGATGGTGGAAGATGTACACGTTGTTGCCAACCAAATCTGACCAATTTTTATTGGGCTTAGAAAATTTTTGTTAAACCAAAAAAGGCAGCCATCGCCGCTCCATCTACCTACTACCAAATCCCAAAATTCAGTTGACATTCACTCCTCTGCCCTCTTCTACTCTCCTCGTTTTCTCCGCTCAATTCCAATTCCAATTCCCCTCTTTCATCTGCTCTTCAATCGGACCCAATCCGATCGACGAACAATTCCGGGAAATGGGTAGCGGGGAAAAGGTTTTCACCTTGAAGGAAGTCGCCGAGCACAACAACCACAGGGATTGTTGGCTCATCATCAGTGGCAAGGTATAAAAATCCATCAATCTCCCTTTTTCTTCTTCTTCTGGATCTACGATTTTTCATTTATCTCGCCGATTCTGCTATTTTCGCCGCCGATCTCTTGCCACGGGGTGAATTCTGATCCTTGTTGTGTGGATGGAGTGGAGAGTTTTCGCTGCTTCTTTAGATTTCGTTTCAGATTCGTGTGTTTGGCTCGTTTGAGATTTCAGATTTATGGTCTTCTGATTGTAGTGGTTGAAACTTGAAATGATAATGTTAGCTGTTTAGATCTGTGACTTCTAGATAGGACTTTATGGCCTTTTTGCTGCCTCTTCTTGAAGAATATCACATGCAGAGGGGGAGGGATTACAATTTTAACTGTGCTTAGGTCTATTTTCTGTCTGTGTTTGCTTCCTCATTTAGGGTTACGCTATCATAATATGCACATTTTATTCTTCTCTGTGTTTCCTGATTTATTTCAAGAGCCCAACGTTTTTGTCTACTATTGCTTTATTTATTTATTTTGATAAGAATTGAAACTATGTCATTGAAAAAGACGCATAAAAAAGAACAATATAAAGGCTTCAGGGTCTCTGCCCTAAGCTTAAAAGGAGGGGTACCATTAGAAGGTATGTTGCAAAACTATTTGTGAAGAGGACTCTAATTAGAGGCAGTTTTATTGTACATGATTTATGAAATTAACAAAAGAATCTAACTTATGAGAGTAGATCCTAGAATTTCTCTCTTTCAAAAGTAGCCAAAGAAAAGATAGTGTTGGACTTATTGTTTTATAATGTTGGTCGTCCCAATCTACTCTTATTTTTTGCTTGCTTGCGATGTTTTCCTGATTACTATGCTGTTCTGGACATTGTTTGATTGCCAATGTGCTGTTGGAATGGTGAGCTGGTGGATAATCTTCACCTGTCTTCCACTTCTGTAGGAAACTTACTGAACGTTACATCTTAATATCCATATGTACAATTTATTGTTTAAAGATTCCTCGAACGGGGAGAGAATTTTCTTTGCCAGAAGGGCTACGGATTCGTAGTTCTTCACAAACCAACAAACCTTTGGCTGATGTAGTTTAGAGTTTACAGCTTAGCTTGTTTAACGACTCGGGTATCTCATGATAGTCATGGTCGAAATTATTATAATATAAGTTTGTTTGATTGATGAAAATTCATGACCAAAACCAATGCTTGTTAGTTTCAAGTTAAAGATAGTGATGGCATGAAGATTTATAAGTAATCAGTTCCTAGTCTTCAATAATGTTTTCCTTTACTCATGTACATGTTGAGCACATTGCTGACCGATGTGGAACGAATGTGTAGCTGTTCCATTGTCACGTTCTTTACGACCTGAAAAACCTTCTATCATAATCTTTCTGGACTTCTTTGCTTTATGTTTTAAGCCCATGATTATATTACTAAAGATTCATGTAAGCTACATTGTTGTAGAAAGAAATGTCTTATGCCAATGATCAAGAAATGGGCATTCAGATTAAGGAGTAAAATTTACCTGTGTATGGACAGATTCTTTACTTCAAGGTGCTTTGGGTGTGTATTTCCAACTGATTTTGAGATTTTTCCTGATACTCTTCGGCATTATGCATAATCAAAAAGATGGTAGTTGGAATCTTAAATCTCGTATTCTCATCTCCAAGGGGCTTTAGGATTGGGATGCTTGGACTTGAAGATACCCTCTCCAAAGAGTTCAAGTTTTCAACTTGAAAACTTAGGTGTCGTTAGATAATTATTATTTTTTTTTAGTTTTCTATTTTTAAAAATTATGCTTGTTTTTCACCAATCTTGATAACGTATTTAAATTCTGAGCCAAATTTCAAAAACAGTAACAAAAACTTTTGAAAATGATTTGAAAAATTATTAATTATATAACAAAACAAAGGGATACGGGTGAAAGTTTCTTAGCTTAATTTTTAAAGACAAAACCAAAAACGAAATGGTTATTTTACGGGGCCTTAATATTTTAAAATTGTTGTCTTTTGCGACCTTCTAGAGATTGGTGGGGTGGGCCCAAAAATAAACTCCCATTCTCATGATTTATAAAAGCTGCATTTACTATAGAAGAGTGTTGAATCTGACCAGGAGATCTTCTGCTTTATTTTATATCAGTTATCTAATCTCCTTGGTCCCTTCGATGATCCGAGCAGGTATATGATGTGACCAAATTCTTAGAAGACCATCCTGGTGGTGATGACGTTTTGTTATCAGCTACAGGTAAATACCAAGTACTTCAGTATGTATATTTTCAAACCTAACTGCTCTCTGTAGTTTGTGTTCCCTTATTGAAATAATGCCTGACATTTACATGGTGCTACTCTCAGGAAAAGATGCGACCGACGATTTTGAAGACGTGGGGCATAGTGACAATGCAAGAGAAATGATGGATCAATACTATGTCGGGGAGATTGATGGTTCAACAATTCCCAAGAAGGTCACATACACACCTCCAAAACAGCCTCACTACAATCAGGACAAGACATCTGAGTTCATCATCAAGCTCCTCCAGTTCCTCGTTCCGCTTGCCATTTTGGGATTGGCAGTTGCCATTCGGTTCTACACCAAACAAGCTTGAGGTTGGTACCTTGTTAACTTCTAAATTTGATAGATTATATCAGTGATTGATTTATGCTGTTGTTAGTGATGAGTCAGGTAATGTCGTTTTTTGGTTATATAATGCGAGACAATTGGTCCTTTTCATTTCTATCCATTTCTAGATTTGTCATATGTAGTGTACTCTATACTTTTAAATTTTCGAAATAAAGATGATGAGGTTTTGGTTTTGGTTTATTTGCTCCATTGTGAAACCTCAATTTGGAGCAGGAACTGGTTCTTGATTTGTTGAGGACTTCTTGAAGCAAACTGGCCCACCCTACAACTAAAATGTTTCTATCCAGGTGAATCTGCATTTTTTTTTTCCTTTTATGAGACCTCCCAGACCTTCTTATTTGAGATAATATCCACTTTCCATATATATAACTGTTGAATGATTGGAACAACCCATACTTGGGGCAGGAAACTCAGAAAATCTTTAATATTTTAAGTGGACATCACGATATATTTAAGGTTTAAATGCTCTTTTAGCTTTGATTCATTTTTGTCAATGATATTCTAAAACGTCTGGTTTGGTTCTTGTATTTTCAATTTTTGTTCATTTTTAGTCTCTATACTTTCACTTTTTTTTGGTCTTTTGTACATTTAAAAAATGACTATTTTAGTTCCTTCTTTATCTCATTTATTTTGATTAAAATTTTATGATGATATTTTACTCATTAAATTTTTTGAAATATAGCTATAACTTGTATTAAAACATTTTTACTGGACATAATTTATGTTAAAATTTTACAAGTCATTTTTTTAAAATATAGAGTTAGAACACAATTCATTTGAAACCAACGATCTGAAAGATCTTCATTTAGAGCTGGGGCCTTCAGCCGGTGGGTAAGTGTTCAACAAGCATTCATATATTTTTAGATAGATCTTTAGTTATATATTCTCGCTTATTTACCTTTTTAATACATGTCTCAACAAATAGCAGTAGAAAAAAAATTTATATATATATATATATCCTTTTCATGTTGATTTATAGAGTGAATTCTTTTAATCATTATTATTATTATTTTTAACAAACCTCCCATCTATTTTGGCTATATAGAGCAAATTCTATTGCTTTGTAATGCTAATGATAGTGATTTGAAGATAGTTATTTCTTTGTGTACACCGTTTATTTCTAGTCAGTTTTGTGATAGTTCTATTTTGGGCTTAATAATTATTTTATTTGAAAATTTAGTAGGACCTTTTTTTTTTTGGTTCTTGTTAGATTTTATATAATAATGAAAAATAGTTTTTCAAATCATGTTTACTGGAATCCAAAAATTGTAAACGACAGAAAATAAAGATTTGTTCCCTTGGGGGGAAAAGTGATCTTTATTGCTTTCTTATTATTTTATTTTAATTTAATTTTGAACTGTACTGTGACTTCAAATGTAAGTAGATTAAAGACAATTTACCAAAAACCCATTAAATGAAAATTTTAAAAACCAAACCGAAGTTAAATTCGTTTTTTCTTTTTCAATTACCAAAATGACTATTCAGAACAATAATTTTTCTCACGTACTTCAATGTCAACCCACAATTTTAGCTACATTTGCAATTTATTAAATAAAAAAAACTAATTCAAATCTATTTTAATTTATTTAAAACTAAAATTGCTAAAAGCTAAAAATTTTATTTGTAAGCATCCCTTTATATTTATTATTTTTTTGTTTTAGTACAACATGGGGGAATAGGATATCAAACTCACAATCTCTTGATTGAAGATAACATTATCGCTGAGCTATGTTAACTTTGGCATAAACATTCATGAACAAAATCAAAACATCAACCATACGAGATGAGTTGATATTTCATCATAAGATACCAATGGAATATTGAAATATACATTAAAAATAAAGGATTCACAACTCATTAAAGCAAGAATATTCAATTGTTAACCCAAATCATTTTTCACAAATATTAATCGATATCAATATTTTATCACAATTTCATTAATATAAAATTTCAAAAATTGAGACATCGACGTTTAACTCCTTGTTCAGGTTGGGCAAAGTTCAGTTCCTCCCTAACTATTAGTATTCGAACCAAAACAAGGAAGAAAAAAAACGAGATGGGATGGGATGGGATGGGACAAGAGATGGAAAGGAGGACTAAATGGAGGTCATTGTCTTGTACATAAAGTGTGGTTTGTTGTGAATAAGGCCTCATTCAAGAGAAGGAAGGAAGAGCATAGAAGGGGCAGTCATAATCAATGCAGAAAAGGGTGTTAGTTAGAAAGGCTTAGGACCACACTGTGTGGTCTGGGGCTCACTTTGAATGAACAGCCCAAAGTAGAGCACATGCCATTTCTTTTCCTTCAAACATTTTCTTCCTCTGTGCCTTTGCAATTTGCAGGCTCTGAAAGTTACCTTTCACACAGATTTTCTAAGGGTTGGGTGCCCTCTGGCTTTGCCTTTGCCTTTTGCCCCACACACTCATCTTTGTAACCTATGCCCATGACCCACCAAAACAATCTCTCCTATTTTTCATTCATTCATTTACAGATATGGGTTTCTAAATCCTCTCCTTTTAGGTAATTTTCTCTCTAAAAGACAATTGACTAACAGGTAGATTACCGAAATTGTATCGTAAAGCCAACTCTAGAGATGGGTCAAAACATCTGTCTAGGACATGATGTACCAAGTCTATTTTGAGGAAATGAAAGTGTGTAGTACCTAGATTTGATGCCCTTCCATTATGGAGCCGAGCTGCACTGCAACTTCATTCAATCTGACTCCTGTTCTTTAATGGATGGTCCTGAAATGTAAAAATGATTGGAGTAAGAATTACTCAATTTAACATCTGCGAGATTTTGAATCCACAAACCAAAAGTTGGAGAGATACTCAATATCTCTCGAGAAAACTTGCTGGTAGAGAATGGGAGGGGTTTAAAAGCTATCACAATAAATCAATTCTAAGCTGGAATTTGAAGTAGATTTTCCATTCTAATCCAATTTTTTACCTATTTAGGCAAACAGCTACCGCTATAACCAATACATCACATTTTACTCTCCCACCTAAAAGAACCAAAATGTTCTTGAAAATGGCAACCAAAATATAGTTATTATAACCCTTAAATGCATCATTAAAAAGAAAAAATATATATAACCATTA